ATCAGATTGTCGTAACGGCCGGCTCGTGCCGCTGACTAAACGGCGCTTGGGAGGCCGCGCGGTCGGGTCATGTAAACATGCGTGCGTGAGCACGTGCTCGAGTGTTACACAATAACATTCTCATCGAAGCGAACGCATTGGGAGTTACCGCGTTATTTTCTAGATTATTCCGCGTCGATTTTTAATACCGCGTTTTGACTCCGCTATAATTAAGACGATAATTAAGACACCTCAAGACGCGTACTCTTCACGCGAGCAGGTGTTGCGGGCTTTACCGTGACAGGTAATTACCGCGTTTCCTTTTTACTTGTCAGATAGAGAAACGTCGCGATCGAGTTCCTCAATGTCGATCAAATATTATTATCATCTATTTAATATTCGAGTATTATTACTTTTTTATTTGATTGCTTTTTAATTTATTCGGTTATTATTTAATTATTGCTATTACGCATAGGAAAATAACTCGGGCGTGCCGTTACGACAATTACTTTACCTTGTCTTTAATTAGTTATTATCGCCGTTGTCCAATTATTGTTATTCATTGTTAACAATAATAACGAAATAATGATGATCAAATAATCGGTAATAACAATATCTGGATAATGGCTCTAACAAAAACTCTAAGCTCCACAAAGGCTAGGTAAACCGACCTTCGTAACGGCTGCTCGGGCTGTTGACTGAGCGGCGCTGGGAGTGGGGAGGGGGGGGAGAGCGCGCGGCCAGGCGCGCGTCACGCCATAACACTATCAGCCGCCGAGGCGAGCGCATCGCGGGAGCTGCCGCGTTATTTTCTAAATTATTTCGCGCCGATTTTTGATACCGCATTTTGACTTCGTCACAATTAAGGCAATAATTAACACAATTTGAGACGCATACTTATCACGCGAGCAGATGTTGTGGGCTTTACCGCAGCAGGTAATTACGGCGTTTCATTTACTTTTTTACTTATTAGATAGAGAAACGTTACGATCGAGTTCCTCAATACCGATCAAATATTATCATCATCCATTTATTATTTGAATATTATTATTTCTTTATACGGTTGTCATTTAACTATTTTTATTACGTATTGGGAAGTAACTCGAGCGTGCCGTTACGACGATTTCCTTATCTCGTCTTACTGTCGTGTGTAATTAATTAATACTACCAGACATTATTATACGGTAGTCGATCAGACATTATTATCATCGCCTTATAATTAATCAGGAATTATTACTTCTTTATTCGGCTATCGTTTAATTATTTTTTGTTGCGCATTGGGGAGGAATTCGAACGTGCCGTTACAATTTATCTTCACCGTCTTGCTGTCGCGTATAACTATTTGATACTAATTTATTAAATCATTAATTGATATTAAATTAAATTTCTGTCATAGATATCTAATAGAGAAGAAGCAGTCGCGTGGCTCTAGAGGATGTGATACCTGGGAGATGCCGCGCCGGAGGATTCGGCTCGAGCCTGGCAGAGTTGGCGCGAAGGTGAGTTCCACTGATTTAAATTCGTAATTAGAAATCCTATTAAACTGGAAATTCTTTTGTTTGGAATCAAGTTCCTTAATGCCACCATTGTCATGTGTAATATTAAATTAAATGTGCTTTCAAAATACAAAAATGTGCTTTTGAAATACAAAAAAATAGACTTTTAAAAAAAGGTGCGCTAAGTTCTCGAAGCGCACTTAATCAGTAAAATCAACTATTTCTTTAAAACTATTGTTATATATGATATAGAACTCTAGAACTATTGTAAAACAAACCGGAACTCTAAAGAAATAGTTAATTTAAATAGTTTTTTTGATTAGGTGCGCTGCGAGAACTTAGCGCACCTTTTTTTAAAAGTCTATTTTTTTGTGTTTAATGACCGGAACTATTGAAAATTGTTGCAAAGAGCTCTAGAACTTTTCAAGAAAGTATCAGAACTGCAAAAAAAATGGCACATTTTGAAATATGGTGTGCCAAGACTTGGCGCACCATATTTCAAAATGTGCCATTTTTTTTGCAGTTCTGATACTCTCTTGAAAAGTTCTAGAGCTCTTTGCAACAATTTTCAATAGTACCGGTCATTAAATACAAAAAAAAGACTTTCAAAAAAAGGTGCGCTAAGTTCTCGCAGCGCACCTAATCAAAAAAACTATTTAAATTAACTATTTCTTTAGAGTTCCGGTTTGTTTTACAATAGTTCTAGAGTTCTATATCATATATAACAATAGTTTTAAAGAAATAGTTGATTTTACTGATTAAGTGCGCTTCGAGAACTTAGCGCACCTTTTTTTAAAAGTCTATTTTTTTGTGTTTAATGACCGGAACTATTGAAAATTGTTGCAAAGAGCTCTAGAACTTTTCAAGAAAGTATCAGAACTGCAAAAAAAATGGCACATTTTGAAATATGGTGTGCCAAGACTTGGCGCACCATATTTCAAAATGTGCCATTTTTTTTGCAGTTCTGATACTCTCTTGAAAAGTTCTAGAGCTCTTTGCAACAATTTTCAATAGTACCGGTCATTAAATACAAAAAAAAGACTTTCAAAAAAAGGTGCGCTAAGTTCTCGCAGCGCACCTAATCAAAAAAACTATTTAAATTAACTATTTCTTTAGAGTTCCGGTTTGTTTTACAATAGTTCTAGAGTTCTATATCATATATAACAATAGTTTTAAAGAAATAGTTGATTTTACTGATTAAGTGCGCTTCGAGAACTTAGCGCACCTTTTTTTAAAAGTCTATTTTTTTGTGTTTAATGACCGGAACTATTGAAAATTGTTGCAAAGAGCTCTAGAACTTTTCAAGAAAGTATCAGAACTGCAAAAAAAATGGCACATTTTGAAATATGGTGTGCCAAGACTTGGCGCACCATATTTCAAAATGTGCCATTTTTTTTGCAGTTCTGATACTCTCTTGAAAAGTTCTAGAGCTCTTTGCAACAATTTTCAATAGTACCGGTCATTAAATACAAAAAAAAGACTTTCAAAAAAAGGTGCGCTAAGTTCTCGCAGCGCACCTAATCAAAAAAACTATTTAAATTAACTATTTCTTTAGAGTTCCGGTTTGTTTTACAATAGTTCTAGAGTTCTATATCATATATAACAATAGTTTTAAAGAAATAGTTGATTTTACTGATTAAGTGCGCTTCGAGAACTTAGCGCACCTTTTTTTAAAAGTCTATTTTTTTGTGTTTAATGACCGGAACTATTGAAAATTGTTGCAAAGAGCTCTAGAACTTTTCAAGAAAGTATCAGAACTGCAAAAAAAATGGCACATTTTGAAATATGGTGTGCCAAGACTTGGCGCACCATATTTCAAAATGTGCCATTTTTTTTGCAGTTCTGATACTCTCTTGAAAAGTTCTAGAGCTCTTTGCAACAATTTTCAATAGTACCGGTCATTAAATACAAAAAAAAGACTTTCAAAAAAAGGTGCGCTAAGTTCTCGCAGCGCACCTAATCAAAAAAACTATTTAAATTAACTATTTCTTTAGAGTTCCGGTTTGTTTTACAATAGTTCTAGAGTTCTATATCATATATAACAATAGTTTTAAAGAAATAGTTGATTTTACTGATTAAGTGCGCTTCGAGAACTTAGCGCACCTTTTTTTAAAAGTCTATTTTTTTGTGTTTAATGACCGGAACTATTGAAAATTGTTGCAAAGAGCTCTAGAACTTTTCAAGAAAGTATCAGAACTGCAAAAAAAATGGCACATTTTGAAATATGGTGTGCCAAGACTTGGCGCACCATATTTCAAAATGTGCCATTTTTTTTGCAGTTCTGATACTCTCTTGAAAAGTTCTAGAGCTCTTTGCAACAATTTTCAATAGTACCGGTCATTAAATACAAAAAAAAGACTTTCAAAAAAAGGTGCGCTAAGTTCTCGCAGCGCACCTAATCAAAAAAACTATTTAAATTAACTATTTCTTTAGAGTTCCGGTTTGTTTTACAATAGTTCTAGAGTTCTATATCATATATAACAATAGTTTTAAAGAAATAGTTGATTTTACTGATTAAGTGCGCTTCGAGAACTTAGCGCACCTTTTTTTAAAAGTCTATTTTTTTGTGTTTAATGACCGGAACTATTGAAAATTGTTGCAAAGAGCTCTAGAACTTTTCAAGAAAGTATCAGAACTGCAAAAAAAATGGCACATTTTGAAATATGGTGTGCCAAGACTTGGCGCACCATATTTCAAAATGTGCCATTTTTTTTGCAGTTCTGATACTCTCTTGAAAAGTTCTAGAGCTCTTTGCAACAATTTTCAATAGTACCGGTCATTAAATACAAAAAAAAGACTTTCAAAAAAAGGTGCGCTAAGTTCTCGCAGCGCACCTAATCAAAAAAACTATTTAAATTAACTATTTCTTTAGAGTTCCGGTTTGTTTTACAATAGTTCTAGAGTTCTATATCATATATAACAATAGTTTTAAAGAAATAGTTGATTTTACTGATTAAGTGCGCTTCGAGAACTTAGCGCACCTTTTTTTAAAAGTCTATTTTTTTGTGTTTAATGACCGGAACTATTGAAAATTGTTGCAAAGAGCTCTAGAACTTTTCAAGAAAGTATCAGAACTGCAAAAAAAATGGCACATTTTGAAATATGGTGTGCCAAGACTTGGCGCACCATATTTCAAAATGTGCCATTTTTTTTGCAGTTCTGATACTCTCTTGAAAAGTTCTAGAGCTCTTTGCAACAATTTTCAATAGTTCCGGTCATTAAATACAAAAAAATTTGCTTTATGTTGCAGAGACGAAGCAGACGACCAGCCAACTCTTAGGGGTTGCTGCACTATTTCTTTAAAACTATTGTTATATATGATATAGAACTCTAGAACTATTGTAAAACAAACCGGAACTCTAAAGAAATAGTTAAT